ATTATTCAACATGTCTCAAGCAAAATAAGTGAACGTTTTTTACATAGCTAAGCAATTTAAAACTGGTACTATTGCTCAAGTGTATTCTCACAGTCCTTCTGTATTTACATCCATCATGAACATTGATTGTTTCTGACTTAATTTACTACAATACTGAAAATTTATTTCTTTTGCTGTTCCTCATTAGGAAAACATGTACAAAAATAATATGTTATGCCAGACTTTTAGGTAAATCATTGACTTATAATTTAGGTAGCATAATACAGACAGAAGCAAATTATTGTTGCACACAAACACACAGAAAAATCATTGCATTCGGGGTTCACTTATACTCAACCCAATACTGTTGCATACATGTATTATGACTCACCATCTATTTAGCGACAATAACAAAGCAGTTTATTTATTGTGATTCATATCGGAGAGAAAGACAGATTAAAAAATAAGTGGCAGTACACATATTATGACTTACACTCTATTGTGTGTTAAAGACGACAGATTAATTATTGTTGATTGATGTATTAGAGAGAACAATGAGATTTAAAGTAATACATGTACAGAATTTAGCTTCTTACCCGCTATTGTGACGAACAAATGTTGATGAGAGAACAAAAAATTAAAAGATATACTGTAATAACAGTGCACATAAAGACTTACTATCTATTGTGTGATGAATTATGAATACATTATACATCAGTTTATTGATTGTTTATTGATACCAGAGATAAAGACAAATTAAGATATAAATTGTAAACATAATATACATATTATGACTTACTTGCTATCATATGAGAAATTTGAGTTTAATTAAGATAAAGATATAATTAAAATATTAATCATTATCACTTAGTTACTTCCTATTGTGCGATTTTGTTTAGAGAAGAAAGATAATGTAAATATTAGTACACATTATTACTTACAAACTATTGCATGGAAAAATAACAGTTGATGGGTATCAGTAACAGAGCAAAAAATTAAAGTATAAAATACACATTACGACTTACTGTCTATTGTGTAATTCATTGTTAATTGCATGATATCAAAGAGAAAGACAGATTAAAAGATAATGCGTAAATCAAAAATACACATTATTACTTACATGCTATTTTATGACAGATATAAAGTGGATGAATATCAGTAACAGAATAAAATAAAAAATGAAATATACATAATAGTACACATTATATGACTTACTGTCTATTGTGTGATGATAATAACAGTTTTATTAATGTTGATTGATATCAGAGAGAATGACATGTATAATCTACATGATAGTATGCAAATTATGACTTACTTCCTATTGTGAGACAAAAATGAATATTCATGAACACAAGAAAAAGTAAGTTAAAAACAATAGCAATCATTATCACTCACTTCCTATTGTGTGATAAAATGAGTTTTATTATTAAGCAGATGAGTATACATTGTAAATAATAGGATATACACATTACTTTGACTTACATTCTATTGTGTGACAAAAGAAAACAGTTTAATTGTTTCATTGTTGATTGGTATCAGAGAGAACAACGAATTAAAATAACATGTACGTAAATAATAGTACACCTTATTACTTACTAACTATTGTGTGACAAATGTAACAGTTAATGGATATCAGTAAGAGAATGACAAATTTAAAATACATATATATATTATGACTTACTTCCTATTGTGTGATGAAGATTATTTTAGAGAGAACCACAGATCAAATACAGTAAAATTTTACACATTATTACTTACAAACTATTACAAAGATATCAGTTGATGATAACCAGTATGAGAATTAATGATAAATAAAAAGATAAAATATATAAGATAGTGCACATTATGACTTACAAGCTATTGTGTGACAAAAGATAAGAGTTTAATAATCATTGTTGATAGAGAATAAATAAATATTAGTACTCAATATGACTTACATTCTATTGTGTGACAATAAAAATAACATTATTGATTGATTTCAGAGACAACAACATATTAAAAGATAATACATGTACAATGCAAGTAACATTATATTACTTACCTGCTATTGTGTGACAAAATAGATATCATAAAAATGAGAAATTAAATAAATACATAACAGTAGACACTGCGATCGACTTACTCTCTATTGTGTGAGATGAAGATAGCAATTTAATTTTTGATTGATCATAGAGAATGATAAATTAAAACATCATGCTTATATTCACATTACTTACCAACTATTGTGTAACAAAGATAGCAGTAAAATGATAAAATTGAAAGAAACTCTACATAATACATTGTAATACAGTGCTCTTAATTACAGTCGGTCATCGGACAATTTCCGGTCAATATTATGTGTTATCCCATCAAATTTTATATGGTCGGTAAATATGTCCTAACACGTGGTCGCTAATTAATTATTATAAATTATTATTATTATAACAAAATGTCGAAACGTTCTTCTTCAAGCGCTTGCTCCTCTTCTTCTTCTTGTGACCCATCCAGCTGTACTTCTGATAGTAGCATCGACATACCTTCAAAGAAGAGAGCTGTAACCGTATCTACCGTTCAAAAGTGGATTCTGGACTACGATAAGACGCTTAATACATCAACTTGGCTCAAGTATGAAGAAATGGATCGCTATCATGTTAGTAGGCTAAGATGTTCTGTCTGTACAAGATTTAAGGACAAGATATCCTCATCAAGGAACTTTAGTGCTGCTTACATCGACGGAACGACCAATTTGCGCACCTCAAGCTTCAAAGATCACGCTAAAAGTGACATGCATGGACGAGCTATGATTTTACTAAGGAAAGAACACAGTACTGACATCAGAGAATATGCTCCCATTGCTAGAAGTCTATATAGTATGGAT